TATATTGTTGTGCAACTACCACCTGTTCATCTCTAGATCTCAAATTGAAACTATATTCCCAGTAAACATTCTCCACTGCCCGCTCTTCCCAGCACCTGGCAACCATGAGTCTACTTTCTGCCGCTCTGATTCTGACTACTCTAAGGACCTCCTGTTAGTGGGATCATACAGTATTGTGACTGGCATGATATTGCCACTTATTGTAATATCCTCCAGGCTCAGCTATGCTGTAGCATGAGTAAGTTTATATTAAATGAATACTGAATGATATCCGTTGTAAGTGTATACCACATTCTGCTTATATTCACTAATTTATCAAGGGATACAAGGTTGTTTCCACCTTTAGCTACTGCAAATAATGCTGTTATGATTGCGGGTGTACAAATACCTTTTTGAGAACCTGCTTTCAATTTGGGGGGATATATCCCCAGAAGTAGTGTTGCTGGATCACACAGTAATACATTGTAATTTTTGAGGTGCTGCCACACTGTCTTCCACAGCAGTCACGTCACCGTACATCCCCACCAATGTGCATGAAGCTTCCGATTGCTCCGCACCCTCACACACACCTATTCCTTACTGTTCTGGAAGCGGCCATCATCAGGTGTCAGCTGATATTGCACTGCAGTTTTGATGTGGATTTCTCTAATGAGTAGTGATGCTGAGCATCTTTTCATGTGCCTATTGGCCATTTGTATATCTTCTTTGTAGAAATGTCTACCCACGCCCTTTGCTTACTTTTGACTGGGTTGTTGGCATTTTTGTTATTGAGTTTTAGGAGTTCTGTTTTTCTGCATATTAATCTCTCACCAAATCTATGCCTTACAAATGTATTCTCCCATTTTGTGGATTGCCTTGTCTATTTATGCCTTTGTTGCCACAAGAAATCATTGCAAATTCTAGTGTTGTGATATTTTGCCCTAAGAGCTTCACAGTTTTAGATGTTACATTTAGGGCATAGATGCATTTTGAGTTACTTTTTTTTGTTGTTGTTGTTATAAGGATTAAACCCAGGGGCACCTACCCACTAAGCCACATCCCCAGCCCTTTTCATTTTTTATTTTGATACAGGGTCTCACTAAATTGCTTAGGGCCTCATTAAGTTGCTAAGCTTGGTATCCAACTTGCAATCCTCCTGCCTTAGCCTCTTGAGTTGCTGGGATTACAAGTGTGCACCACCTCACCCGCCTTGAGTTAGATTTCGTTATGGTGTTGTGGAAAGGTCTTGTCATGGTGTCAGGGAAGGGTCTTGTCATGGTGTTAGGGAAGGTCCAACTTGATGTTTACATCCAGTTTCCTGCACCATTTGTTTAAAAGAATATCTTCTTCGCACTGAATGATCCTGGTTCCCTTATCAAAATTCATTTCACCAGGCTGGGGCTGTAGCTCAGTAGTAGAGTGCTTGCCTAGCATGTATGAGGCACAGGGTTCAATTTTCAGCACTGCTTATAAATAAATAAAATAAAGATCCATGGACAACTAAAATTAAATCAAAAAAGTGTATCTAATACAGAAAAAAAGAAAATTATAAAAAATTCACTTGACCAAATATTAAAAGGCCTATTTCTGGACTCTCTTCTATTGCACTCGTTATGTGTCTGTCTTGATGTCATTAACACACTGTCTTAACTGCTGTTGCTTCATGTAGTAAGGTTTGAAATCAGGAAGTATGGCTTCAGCTTTGTTCTTTTCCAGGATTATTTTGCTGCTTACCATTCCCCAAGATCCCACATGGATGGAGATTTTTTTTTTAATTTTTTTTTTTGCAAAAAAACTTATTACAGTTTTGATGGGAACTGCACTAAATCTGTAGATCAATTAGGATAGTATTGGCTTTTTAACAATATTAGGTCTTCCAGTCCATGAACATGGGCTACCTTTTCATCTATTTACGTCATCTTTATTTTTCTCTCAGAAGTGTTTTGTAGTTTTCAGTGTACAGACTGTTTACCTCCTTAGTTCCTAAATATTTTAGTATTTTTCATTCCCTTGTAAATTGAATTATTCTTTTAATTTACTTCTTAGGTTGTTCATCATTAATTCATATAAATGCAACTGATTTTTAAAGTTTTTATTAAAGCTGGGGATTGAAACCAGGCACCTGAACATGCTCTACCACTGGACTACATCCCCAGCCCTGCAACTGATGTAGTGGAATTTGCTGCTGGAGTCAGTTTTCTAGTATTTGGTTGAAGCTATTTTACATCAATGTTCATACAGAACACTAGTCTAAAGTTTTCTTGTGCTGTCTTTGTCTGGCTTTAGTATCAGGGTGATTCTGGCTTCATTGAATGCATGAGGGAACATTCCCTTCTTTTCTTTAGTCTGAAAAGGGTTGATGTTAGTTCCTTAAATGTTTGGTAGAAGTCACTGGTGAAACTCTCAAGTCCAAGGCTTTTCTTTGGTGGGAGATTTTGATTTGATTACAGATTCAATCTCCTTACATGCTATAGGTTTAGTCAGATGTGTGTGTGTGTGTGTGTGTGTGTGTGTGTGTGTGTCTTAGTCTTGATAGACTGCATTTTAAAGAAATTTGTCCATGTCATCTAGGTTATCCAATTTGTTGCAGTACAACTGCTTGTAGTACTCTCTGATAATCCTTTTAATTTCTGTAGAATTGGTAGTAATATGGTCATTTTCATTTCTAATTTTAATCATTTAGGTTTTCTCTCTTAACCCATTATCTATTCAAAGAGTTGTCAATTTGTTGATATTTTTGAAGAAACAACTTTTGGTTTCTCTAATATTTCTCTATTATTTTTCTATCCTCTATTTTATGTCTCTCTGCTTTAATCTTTATTGTTACAGCTTTGCGTTTATTCTTTTAAATTTTTGAAACTTTGTAAGTTGCAAAGTAAGGTTGTTGATTTGTTTCTTATTTTATAATGTGAGTTTTTATCACTGTAAATTTTCTTAGAACAGCTTTCTCTGTCCCATAAATTATGGTGTCTTATGTTTTCATGTATCTCTAAGAATTTTCTAACATCCTTTGTTATTTTTTCCATGAATTTATATTTTCCAAATACTTAGAGAGTTTTTGGCCATTACTTCAAATGTTCTCTATCCTAGCATCTCTCAACTGTGGAACTTCTATACAGTGGCTACTCTAGTCCACTTGATAGTCTCATATGGGGCCCTTAGACTATTCACTTATATTTTTCTCCAATCTTTTTTTTTTCCTGTCCCTCATACTTGATAATTTCCACTGTCCTTTCAAGTTTTTCTTCTATCTGTTCACATATGCCTTTGGATTCATCTAGTAAATTTCTTATTTCAGTTATTGCACTTTGCAGCTCCAGAATTTTTAAAAAGTGTTCTTTATTAGTTTATTGATATTTCTAATTGATTCATACATCATTATCTTGACTTTCACATCTTTTTTTAGTTCTTGGAGCATTTTTAGGATAATTGTTTTAAAATCTTTGCTATGTGATGCATTATCAGCTCTTTTTCAAGGATGATTTCTTTTGGTGTGTTTGATTCCTCTGAATGGGCTGTACTTCACAGTTTCTTTGTACGCCTTGTGACTTTTTTGTTGAAAACTGTACATTTGAATCTAAGAAGGTGGTCACTCTGGGAATCAGCTTCTCCTGGTCCCTGGGTTTGTTGGAGATGTTTGCTTTGTAGGCTGTCTCTGTGGTGTGGATCAGCCGACAGCATGACCTTGAGATATTCTTAGCTCCTTCCTCCAGATGCATGACTAGACCAACATAGCCCTCTTTCTATCTCACCAGTGTAAATGATATTTGTACATGCCACTCCTGCATCCAGACTCCTTAAAAAAAAAAAAAACAGTTTTTACTCCATTCCAATGAGTTGAGAATCTGATGAAAGCCTTGGATCATCACCCCAATAAAAAGATGCACACACAATTCTGTGTGCAAGGTCAGGAGATCTAGCACACCTTGAAGCCGTCCTCGCCTGCAGGCTGAGCCCATGTCTTAGTCCACCATGAAAGGCGGATTCCCGTTCCATTTCTGACCTAGCCCCTGTAGCCATGGTTTTCTTCCATGTCAAGAGGGGAAAACATCCACGCCCATTTCTTTTTTTGTTGTCCTGGTGAGGCAACAAGACACCAAGAGCACACACCTGTCCCAACTCCCAGAGGTGAGCAACAGACCCAGAGGCCGCCTACCTTTTTCACGTACACCTCATGTTAACTCTGTTCAAATATTTTCCTGAACCTTTGGAGCAAATTAATCCCAAATCTAAAAAAAGTCCTAAAATCCATTTCAAACACATGTACTTCAGCACCACCTCTACTCTTGCCTCCCTTCCCTTTTTTGTGCCGGGATTGTGTTTTCACAAAATTCCAAATCATTGGAATGGAGTAAAGACTTAGGAGACGGACTAGAATTAAATGGAAAAATCAATTCAAAACAAGCTTATTTTAAATTAGATATGTGTTCATGCTTCCTTGGAAAGTCTCAATGTATGTTTGGTTGTGCTATTTGCTTTCTGTGGGGACTCTCTGGAATGGGCCCATCGACCAGCATCGACTCACCTTGTGTAGGCTAGTGGAGCCATTCGAGGGTGTTCCCTGCACCTTTCTCCCCAGTGCTTCCTGTAATGCTTGACCTCAATTTTGCCCACGCATCATAAGCACCTGAGTGGTTTTTTTGTTTTGGGTACCAGGGACTGAACTCAGGGACACTTAACCACTGAGCCACATCCCTAGCCCTTTTTATTTTTTGTATCGAGACAGAGTCTCCCTAAATTGTTTAGAGCCTCGCTAAAGTGCTGAGTCTGGCCTCAAACTTGCAATCCTTCTGCCTTGGCCTCCTGAGTTGCTGGGATTACAAGCATCTGCCACCAAACCCGGTTTGAGGAGTTTTTCTTATTTTTTGGCACTGGGAATTGAACCCAGAGGCACTCTACCACTGAGCTACATCCCAAGTCCTTTTAATTTTTTGTCACTAAGTTGCTGAGGCTGGCTTCAAACTGGTGATGTTCCTACCTCAGCCTCCCAAGTAGCTGGGATTATATATATATATATATATATATAACAAAATTAACGTTAATTATGTGATCAGTACATTTTTCTATGATTCCCTTCATGCTTCACTTTCCCCAGAAACTGAATTCTGAACTTTCTCTTCTAAAATTGGTACAATCAGGTTATCCTTCGACATCAAATTATATTTCATCACAAATTTAGTAAATCGATGACATAAAAATGTTTCATTTTCATACTCATCAAATATCTGCCGGTGATGAAAATAAGCATGTGAAAATATTCTGTAAATTCTACGACATACTGATCCTAGTTTTGCTACAGATGATTCTTTTATGCTAACCCTGCTGGGAAAATATTTATTGCTATTCAGAAGACACGCAGCACCATCAAGTGTGTGTCTAGTATAGTCTATAGCAGGACACTCTTTTGGAGTTTTATGAGCTGCACAAAGAAAAATCCATTGTTCAGTTGCTGTCATTTGAGTACAAGTATCTGGGTGGCATTCACTCTGAAGTTTGACAGCAAGTCCATTTAGTTCAAGGCAGAATTGCCTTAAATGTTCATATTTCCACATACCTTCATCTTGGCCTTCAGAAGATTCAAGAATTTTGTCAATATTGGAGCAATCTGCCCTTATGTTCTGTTGAATATACTGCTGAACAGCAAGTGTACTGTCCATCTCATCAAATGATTCATCAAGCCAATTATAGAAATCTCAAACTGTGGTGATCAGATCTGGAACCAAGGCAGGCTTCTCCTGGTGTGGAGTGGATAACCGGTTGAAGAGAGGGTCAGGTCCTATGGAAAAGTTGCAGCTGTCACAAGGGTCCAGAAGAGGTGGTAGAGTTTGAGAGCGGTGAGGATCATGCAGAGGATCAGGAAAAATGAAGTCAAGTGATGGGATGTCAGTCAGTCTGGGTCCTCATCATGCTGAGTGCATCCTTGTTTCGGCTGGTACACAACTTACAATTCTTACTAGAGGTGGTTTCCATCAGAAGGTTCAGGCCAGATCCTGGATTCTCTCTGCCTCACTCCAGGCAGTCACACAGGACAGGGCCAGTTCTCCTTCCTCTGCTTCAAGGGCCACCTGATCCTGTTTCTCCCAACTGGAACCCAGGTTCCCAGATTCCCTCTTGTCTTTTCAACATCCACCATTCACCACTGTCGTCATTTCCAAATGGCGATGGGAATGTCTGTCTGCTCCTAGTGAATGACTTTACCTTTCCATCCAGGAAAGTGTAGTTTTGACTCAAGTGTGGGTGCTGCAGTCTTAGAATAGGGCCTTCACTCAGCATGGTCACACAGAGTCAAACCCAGGCTGTTCTGGAAGGCTCAAGTGAGGACCTGCCCTGCACTCCTTTCCTTGAATCCTCAGACTCACTTTTGACTTCCCATGAACAAGCCCATGAATAAAGCACATTTCACATGCCCAAAAGAATAAGTGAAACTGTACTGAGATGGGTAACGCACCTAATTCTACACTTAGCAAAGACATTACTTACTGCAAGGGAACTGTAATCTGAGAAACCATCTCCTAACCACAGACTGCTTTCACATTACCGGTCCCAGTCCGTTCACGCCTCAACTCAAAAACTTCCATCTCAGAAATGATATTTGGGACTTGATTCAAAATTAATAAGGGCAGGGCATAGAGCAAAGTGAGGGGGACTGTGAGGAAACAAAACTAGCCATACGCTGAATGTTACTAAAATCAAGTAATGGACCCGAGTGGTCATTATACTGGTCTACATTTTTTTTCCCAGTGTTGAATTGAACCCAGGGTCTTTTGCATGGTAGGCAAACACTCCATACTGAGTCATGCTCTCAGTTTTGTTTTTTTTTTTCATTTTTATTTTTGAGACAGGGTTTCGCTAAGTTGCCCAAGCTAGCCTTGAACTTGCAATCCTCCTGCTTCAGCCTCCCAAGTAGTTGGAATTATGGATGTGTGCCACTGTGCCTGGCTTCTTATCTATTTTTGTGTAAGTCTGAAGTCTCCTGTAGTTAAAAACAAAACAGCTCCATTTCTACAAAGGCTTGGCCCCTGATGTTTGCATCACTAGAAGGTTCTTCACTGAGGCATGCAAACAGATGTTGCAGCCCCAAAGGTGAATTCAGTCTGTACTTATTGCAAAAAAAAGAAAAAAGTCAAATATTCCCCCCATCTAGAGATGATTCCAGAGATTTTGGGGCAAATATTTATTCAAAGATCACATGCAGTTATGGGGGTCTTCCTTACCACAGCACTCTCCTTGAAGGAACTTCGAGCATTCCTCAGATGACACTATTGCTCACTATTTCTAGGGCTATGTGCCATCTTGCCTGATATGTACGCAGAGGATTTAGGCACCAGACAGGTAAAGGAAATTTTATCTGTGCTAACTTATGCCTCTTTTTTAATATTTATTTTTTAGTTGTAGTTGGACACAATACCTTTAACTTATTTATTTTTATGTGGTGCTGAGAATCGAACCCAGGGCCTTACATGAGCTAGGTGAGTGCTCCATCGCTGAGCCATAACCCCAGCCCCTATGCCTCTTTTTACAAAGGGACTTAATCAGTACAATTTGATGAAAAAGAGACTAACAAGGGCAGCTTTAAGAATGATTGGCCATTAAGCCTAAGTAGCATTAATCTTAGCAAGATTTAGGGAAGAGGCCTTGTTCTGCAATGTGGTCTTCAGCTTTATTAACTCAGAAACTTAAATGTTGGCATACACAGACCTAATGGGACCCTAAGGGATGATGAATACCAATTAATTAACTTGCAATGGGAGCCATAACTAGAAGCAGGCCCCAAATTCATTTTCTGGTTAGACATTTTCTGTCCATGGGAAACTTTTTATGCAAAGCCAAATTATAATCAAAAGGGTATTTGGTGAGAGCAAGCTCTAGAACAGTGAATTTTCAACTAGAGAGAGTTGCTATCCCTGGGGATAAGTAGAGCAAGGGCGGGGTGGGGGGCATTAGGGGAATGTGTACACGTGTGGTCTTTTGGCATGTGTAATTAGAAAAGGCATAACTAATGTTATAATTCAACATTTTAAAAAGAAAATGTAAAGTCTATTGCTTTCACAACTAAAATGATACAAAAGTCAAGCACACAATATTCCTGGCTGGTGACTCAGCTGGGAGGGTAGAAATCTACACATCAACGCTCTGGAGGACCTAGGACTTTCTGTCTTTCAAAATGAGGCAAGAAAACATTGTTTACTGGGACATTAGACAAGAGCTACACCAGACAACCTGCATTAGAGGGATGCAGATCAAGTTGTGTTTTCAAATTCTTTCTCACTAAACAGTTCTGTGATGAATATAATCATGCAGTTATTTTTAGTGAGAAGTTATAGAGAACCAGATCTATGTCCCTTGTAGAGTATCATATACTTCATAGTATATAATATAGTACTACAAAACTACTACAGTTTTTGTGAACAGATTCTGAAGCTGGCCCAAGACACTGTATGGGTACAGCAGACATCTGATAGATTCAGTGTTGATTCTTCTCTTCTTCCTTCCCATAAGACTCCATTTTCATTTGAGCATTGCTGTGGTTTCTGGGAAGAGAACTCTACTTTTATGTCAGCATATTCCAATTCATGAAGCTCAGCAATTGCTTTCAATCTACATGCTCATTCTACGGTAGCTGCCTAACTTCCAGATACATGATAATTTGCAGAGCTGTCACAATTTTTTTGTGTGTGTGAAATAAAGTATGCAATTTTACAAAGTTAATTTCATTGTATTGTTATACTTGCTAGCATTTAAGATCATTTAGGCCTTAACTTCAGCAGAGAATGATTCACAAGGCATGAATTAAGCCCCTGCAGAATCAAGGGACAGTCCTAAGACCAGGTCCCTAAAGAGAAGAACAGAAGCCACTTCTGAAGGCCATGGAATAGACCATCAAGCATCTTGCAAACATGCCACTAAAATGAACATGCATCAACCATCCTCTTCAATCCTGGGGCTTCAGAGTCCCAGGAGAGACAGGGGCTAAGTGTGGATTATGTAGAGCATGTTCCTTTGTCTGAGAGTCCCACCAAATTATGTCCAACTGGGAAGAAATTATTATTCTCCATATGTAAATAGAAGTGCAATGACCAAAACAGCAAAAACAATCATGAAAAGCAACACCTTCCTATGCTGATGCTCCTAGTGAGAATTACTCATCAAAAATGCAGACCTCCTTATTGGCTGTAGCTTTTCTCCAGTGCACACACCTGACTGAATTGATGTCCCTTTCCATTTCCTCCAGCTACTAAAGAGCCCCCCAAAGGCAATGGCTATAGCAGCTGCATCATCTGGAGAACAGCATCCTGGGGCTCTCCAAGTGGGGCTATTTCAAAATTATTCTGAGGAGTGAACATAAGCAAAAGTAAATGACCTTTTCTCTATTCTACCAAAATTTTTAAAATTAGACAATTTTTACTTTTTTTTTTTTTTTTTTGGTACTGGGGATGGAACTCAGGGACACTCGAACACTGAGCCACCTCCCCAGCCCTATTGTGTATTTTATTTAGAGACAGGGTCTCACCTCATTGATGCTGAAACTGGCTTTGAACTCATGATCCTCCTGTCATAGCCTCCTGAGCTGCTGAGATTACAGGTGTGCACCACCATGCCTGGCACAGATTTTTACTTTCTAATTTGAAAAACATACAAAATAAATATGCAAAGTCATAAATAGTTGCTTTCCTATTTTTTTCTGAATCTATAAAATGCCCACAGAACATGTCTTATTTTAGTAAGAAATTTTAAAATTAAAACAAAAAGAATAATAATCCAATTTATTTTTATTAACACATATTAATTGTACAAATTAATGGTTTCACTGTGACATTCCATACATGCATATTTTATGCATTGATCATGTCCAACCTCCCTTCCACTGCAGTCTGATTTTCCTTTTTTTTTTAGTTATAGGCAGGTACAATACCTTTATTTATTTATTTTTATGTGGTGCTGAGGATCAAACCCAGTGCCTCATCAGTGCTAGGTGAGCACTCTACCGCTAAGCCACAACCCCAGGCTCATAATCTGATTTTCTTTAGGGTTGATTTCAGCTAAGCTGCTTCAACAGTTCATCAGATAAGTATAACTTTTGAGAAACTTCCCAAGTATAACTTTTTTGAGTAAGGCTAAAAATGAAATGTGGTACAGTGGAGACTAAATCTTCTAATAACTTGCTAAAGAAGACAATTTGCATCTGGGAAGAGAATTCTAAAATGTCATCATTGTAGAAAATACATTACTAAATCTGTTACCAGTTATGTATGTGTGTGTGTGTGTGTGTGTGTGTGTGTGTCGCTGGAGATTGAATCCAAGTCCTCATGCACTCCAGGCAAGTGTTCTACCACTGAGTCACACACCCAGTAACTCAAAGTTCTTTTATGAACACAAAGTTCATGCGGTAATTAATTTCACAGACCAGAAATAAGAATCAAATACTATTTTTTTTTTTTAAAAAACTAGACCATCCAAACAATGGGATATTTTTCAGTTGTTAAAATGGCAGGATATACTGATACATGCTACAATGTGGATAAATCTTAACATTACGCTAAGTTGAAAGAAGGCAGAGGCAGAACATATTACATAATTCCACTTATAGGAAATGTCCAGAAGAGGAATATCCACAGTGAACAGATTCAAGGTCATCAGGAGCTAGAGATGCTGCTAATGAAGATAGGTTTCTTCTGTGGATGATGA